GGAGGAGGAGGAGGAGGAGATGATGACAGGCTTTTCAGAGCAAGAGAGAAAGAAGGCCTAGAAATCAGTAGTCTATGTAGCATGTGAGTAGCACTTTTATAGCCCTTCGGGTGAGTCTCAGCTGCTCTGGCATCTGGTTGGTCACTGTTGGTCACTGGTACCGCCCCTATGAAGGTCTGCTCCAGGCTCAGCAAGGGTGTTGTCTTCACCAGAGCTGCTATCTCTGCTTCCCAGAGTCATCAGGAAGAAGATGGGCATTGTCTCCACCGGGTGGCAGTCTCTCTGTCTGCCTAGTATTTCTCTCTCTCTCTCTCTCTCTCTCTCTCTCTCTCTCTCACTCTCTCTCTCGGATTTTCCCCTCTGTTAAATTTGGAGATCGTATTTCAGTGTATGCCACTCAAATAGCATTAAGATGCATCCTGAATTCCACCAAAAAACCTTAACAATAAAGTTGAGTTCCAGGTCCCGCCTGAGGCCCACTCAGAGTCCTGGGCTGAGTGGAAAGGCTTTGGGAAGCCTGGAGACCTGCAGGGCACACCCCCCCCCCCCCCTACCCCCCTCCCCCCCCCCTCCCACCACCACCACTACCACCCCCCCCTCCCCCAGCACGAGGCCCAGCTCTGGGCTGCTCGGAGCTGGGTCTCTGCACATTCCTAGGAATAAATGAGAAAACAATCTTGAAGAGTTGCGATGAACAAGGTCCAGATGTGGGCTCTGGCTGGCCAAATGGAACATCTGGACACATTGCTCACATCCAGTGGTGACCGGGACGCGTGTTTCCAGGGATCCCCAAGTGGCAATACGGGGTGGTGAAGCCTAGCTGGGGCCCTTAGAACATTGTTGGGGGTGGGGGTGTGCCCTCAGAACAGTTTCCTGCCTCTTTCTTATTCCCTCAGTCTATTGTGGGTCTTGATCTCTGGGCCTGGGCGCTGTCCCTGAGCTCTTCAGCTCAAGGCTATTGCTCTACCACTTGAGCCACAGCACTACTTCTGGTTTTCTGGTGGTTCGTTGGAGATAAATCTCACAAACTTTTCTGCCCGGGCTGGCTTTGAACCATGATCCTCAGATCTCAGATCTCTCCTGAGAAGCCACGAGCCATGGCACCCGGCCTGTGTGTGTTTTCGGTTGTTGTTGTTTTTAATGATCATATGTTAACAGTACAAGGTGATTTAATGGCGATGAGTCCACAGGTGAATTCAATGTATTTGAACAAGTTCATGCCCGCTGTTCTATTCCCTTAGTCCCTCCCACTTCCGGGTTGGAATGACCTCACACCCATCATGCTCCATTGTAATGTCGCCTGTCCTTAGCTCTCGCTCCAAAGCTGGAACCAATGGGTCTGCCCATCACCCTTGGAACTCAGCCTTTAGAACTCCGTCCTGGCTCTGCCCTGCACACAGGACTGCTGGTGGCCGGGGTGAGGGGTGCAGGGGCTCTTTGGGACTTAGTCCTGCTTGTCTGGCCAGGCCTATTTTCTGCTCCTGGTTTGAACAAGAAGAGCCCCCAACGGCTCCCTCTTCTCCTGTGCAGCCCTTGGCCCCCAGCTGGCAGCACTATTTTGGGAGGCGATAGAAACTTTAGCAGGTGGTGCTAGCTAGAGAAAGTGTGTCATGGGAGAGGGGTGCCTTTGAAGTTCACACTTGAGGTGAAGAAGCACCCCCTCCCCCACCATGGGCTCCTGCCTCCAAGTTCTGCTCAAGCACCCAGGGCCGAGCAGCCACGGACTGAAACCACGAGCCAAAAATTAATTCCTCCCTGAAGTTATTCGCACAGTGCGAGATGCCGATGGCTCACACCTGTCATCTTAGCTACTCAAGAGTCTGGGGTCTAGAGATCATCATTTGAAGCCAGCCTGGGCAGGAAAGTCTGGGAGACTCTTATTCCCAATAAACTCAGAAAAAGCCTGCAGTGGCTGTGACTTCAGAGATAGATCTCTAGCCTTGAACACAAAGAGGCTCAGGATCAGCGCCCAGACCCTGAGTTCAAGCCTCAGGATTGGAGAAAAGCAAACAAAACAAAACAACAACAAAAGAAACCCAACTTATGCACACAGGTATTTTGGTCACAGTTATGCAAAAGTCACTAATACACTGCCCTTAAGGAAAATCATCACTGTCCCGACAGTTGTGTGGGCCCTCTGAGGATTGCAGGTCAAAGCCAGCCAGCTGAAAAAGTCAGTGAGAAGTTGATCTCTCCAAGGAGAGCTCAAGGCCTTGCATTCAAGCCCCAGTACTGGCCCCCCCCCCCACACACACACAAAGAATAAATAGAAGGGGTGGGGGGGAGAGAAGAGAGAGAGGAAGAAAAATAAAAGGAAAGGATAGTACCAACATCTTAGCCCACGTGGGTTGGTCCAGAGTTACCAGTGTCATTGGCTGTGGTTTTCCTACACAGGGATCCTGGTGATCATGCTTGCCTGTTGCATCAGGAGCAGCTAGGCAGGTGTGACCCTCATCCGGAAGCCAGTGGAGGTCTGCAGCAGCTGACACGCCAGGTGTCCCGGGTGCTTTTCAATGGAGTCCCTGTGGTGCTGGCAAGAGTACAAGGGAGAAACCAAAAGGAGAGACTAGATATAATAGGGAGAAATAGTGGCCCAGTGGAGATGACACCCCTCCTCTTCCTCAAGACCTGAGTCCTTCCTGTAGGGAGATGGCCTACTGAAGTCCAGGTCCAACTCTTCACTCTCTTACATGAAGTCTGTACCCTCCTCACCCTTCCCCACCTCCCCCTCCCCCTCCTCTTCTCCCTCCTTCCCCTCCTTCTCCTCCTTTTCCCTCCCTCCCTCCCCTCCCTCCTCCTGTCCCTCCTCTCTCTCCTGTCCCTCCTCCCCTTTTCTCCTCTTCTCCCTTCCCCTCCTCTTTCCCTCCCCCCCCATCCCCAGCCACCAGGAAGCAGGTAGATAAGACCTCATATGGTATAAGGTGACTGTCCTGGTCAGGTGTCCAGGTTAGAGGCTAAAACTAACCCACTAGTAGCTCAGAGGCTTGCCCCATCCCCATCTTCCTTTTCAGTGATCTTCGCCTGTGTTCCCACTTCTCCTGTCTCACAATCTTTATTTGGTGGAGAGAAGGGCCTCTAGGCTCCTCAGGGGTATTAAGGGGATTCATAGAGAAGCACGAAGCAAAACGTCTCTGGTTTTATCATGACTTACTAAAAGCCTACATGTCAGAAAGTATCTTTTTCTTCCTTTAAGAATGCAGAGCTATTTATGAAGTTAAGCATGGCATGATTAGTGGTCAAGGCTGGCCTGAGCATATGCGTGAGACCCTTTGAACCACCTGTGGGGCATGGTGGCACCAACCTCTCATCCGCCGTCCATGGGACACAGCCCAGGCAGAAAGTCCACATGGAAAGATGCGGGGCGTGGAGGCCTAGGCCAGTCATCTCAGCTAGGATGGAAAGCCTAAAAAGGCAGATTTTGCAGGAAGCAGAATCCTATCTAAAAATAATCAGAACATTACTAGTGTATAAAAGTGTTAGGCCAGGCACCGGTGGCTCACACCTGTAATCCTAGCTATTTAGGAGGCTGAGATCTGAGGATCGTGTTCAAAGCCAGCCCTGGCAAGAAAGTCTGTGAGACTCTTATCTCCAATTAACCACCAGAAAACCGGAAGTGGTGCTGTGGCTCAAGCAGTAGAGTGCTGGCCTTGAGCTGAAAAGCTCAGAGACAGTGCCCCAAGCCCAGAGTTCAAACCCCACGACTGACAAAAAAACAAACAACAACAATAAAAACAGAGACTTTATGAAAGAAAGGGTGCTTGTTGCTCTTGCAGAAGCTGCTCTGTGTGTGTGTGTGTGTGTGTGTGTGTGTATGCTATCACAGTGCCAAGCCTAGAATAAATGCCTCCCTGCTGTGAAACATTTCCTTCTCTATTTCCTACTCTATTTTGTCCTTTGACTTTCCCAAATCGCTTCTCTGGCTGAGTTCTTCCTCTTGGCCAGAAGGGGGCGAGATTGGATTGCTTAAAATAATTTTATTTTTAGAGTGTGTGTGTGTGTGTGTGTGTGTGTGTGTGTGTATGTGTGTGTGTGTGTGAGAGAGAGAGAGAGAGAGAGAGAGATGGTACTGAGGTTTGAATATCAGAGAATGGGAGCTGTGTCTTAGCTTTTCCACTCAAAGCTAGGTCTCTACCACTTGCACCACAGCTCCACTTCCAGCTTTTTGCTGGTTAGTTGGACATAAATATCTCCTGGACTTTCCTGTTGTTCTAGCTTTGAACCTCAATCCTTAGATCTCAGACTCCCCATTCACCAGGATTACGCACATGAGCCACAGACACCTGGCTACTTAAGATACTTTTATAATTTTTTTTAATAGTGGAAGATTTTTTCCTTAGAGATAGTTCAGATATTAACAATAACTTTTAAGTCCCTGTTCTTTACCTACCCTCCCACAACCAGTCCTTGTAGATAAATGGTGATTTTTAAATTTAATTGATTATTATTATTAGTAGTTGTTGTTGTGGGGCTTGAACTCTGGCCTGGGCGCTGTCCCTCAGCTCTTCACCTCAAGGCGAGTACTCTACCACTTGAGCCACAGCGCCACTCCGACTTTTTCTGCTTATGTGGTGCTGAGGAATCGAACCCAGGGTCTCATGCATGCAAGGCAAGCACTGAGCCACCTTCCCAGCCCTTTATTTTATTTTATTACAGTTTTTCCCTCTCTCATTTCTTCCAAGGGACCATGCTTCTTGCACCAAGTTTCTTCCAGTAAAACCTTCAACTTCTCTCTGACCTTTCCCACAGCAAATTAGGTCAGCTCAGTCAATTGACATACTGTGATTAGAGCAATCTGTCACAATGCCTTGTCCCTTCTTCACCCAGCTCGAAGAGGGGGAGGGATGGCTGAGATGGTGAACCACCAGGTGAAGGGTAGATACAGTTAATGTCACTGCTGCACACCTAAAAATGGTTAAAACCATCCATTGTATGATAACCTATTGTATTATAGACAACGGTGATTCAACACTCACTGCATAATGCTGTAGGGACAAGCGCTGCTTAATTTCAAGTTGTTTTTCATTTGTACCTTCCATGGCCTGCTCACTATGAAAGCACAGTGAGCGAACGGTTAGCTTGTGCTTAATGATCAATAATGCACCTTCTGCCAGGCACCAGTGGCTCACGCCTATAATACTAGGTATCAGACTGAGATCTGAGGATCGTGGTTTGAAGCCAGCCCAGGCAGGAAAGTCCATGAGACTCTATCACCATTTCACCCACAAAAAGCCAAACGTGGAGTCGTGAGAGAGCTCAAGTGGTAATCAGCCTTGAGGGAAAGAGCTCAAAGACAGCACCCAGTCCCTGAGTTCAAGTCTCAATACCATTACACACAATTAGTAGCAAGAAGAATAAGAGTAATGAAGTAATAATAATAATAATATCATACTTATATCCCTTTTTCTGCATCCTCCACAGAGCCTGTGTTCGGTCCTGGAGTCAGCCTTCCTCGTTCCCATCTGCCTAACAGAGCCGTGTCCTGCCCTTCAGTCTGGTGCAACTGTAATTTGTGTCTGAAATCTTCCTTTTCACATCTCTCTCATTGAAAACAGCCCTGCCCTCCCTTTCTCTGGGCTTCCGGGCACTCTGTGTCAGTATTCTGCCTGTGTGCACATCTCCCTAAGGATGGAGGCCATCCCCTAATCCTTCTGGTATTTCCGCTGGCCTTCCACATTGGGAGGCCCTGCAGGGAAGATTGCTGAATGGCGGAAGTGAAAGACAAAGAGAGGAGCCAGACACCAACCCTGGGAGCCGTGCGCACACCTGATTCCAGCCTTGAACCCCCAGCTGACACACAGGTGTTCCCCAGGTGTTCCTGCTCTGGGGTCACATTTGCTTTCCTTGGTTGTTTACTAATGTTAGTTTCCTGTTTTCTTTATTGCATTAGCCATTCATTCCAAATTGTAAATTTAAAGTTAGGTGTGGTACCAAAATATGAAATACCAAAACACTTCCATGGATTCTCATAAAAAGCTACCGGAAAGGAAAGTTTTGTATCTCTAATTCTATTTATTAGATGCACTAGAAAAACAGAGTTCATAGGAAGGAGCCATGTTTATTCTAAGGCTGTCAATCTGTTCTGAATGCCTGTGCTAGAGCTTGCACTCAGGAACTGGCTTTTTTTTGTTCAAGGTTGCATTCTACCACTTGAGCCTTTTGCTGGTTAACTGGAAATAAGAGTCTCGCAGACTTTTCCGCCTGGGCTGGCTTCAAACCTTGATCCTCAGATCTCAGCCTTCTAGTAGCTAGGATTCTAGGCATAAGCCACCAACACCGGGCAAGCTGCCAAATATGGTTAGGGACTGTTGCTCCAAAACCCCATCTTGGGGAAGTGGGGGCGGCAAAGCTTTCATAGGGAGGAAAAGAGGAACAGGGCTTCTACTCACCTTTCCCCCCTCACCTTTTCCTGGGGTTGGCTCTTTTTTGACTTGATCTGTTGATTGTTATTTGACGCACAGGGTCAAAGACTAAGAAGGGGCGTTCCAAAGGTCCTCAGATGATGCTTTGGGTTCTGTAATCTAGAGAAAGTTGCAGCAATCGAGATTGTAACCCTGCCATTGGGGCTTCTCTTTAGCAAAAGGATTAAGGAGAGGGAAAGGTGGAGAACGGTTGAAGTAAAAGGGAACAAAGGGCCCAGGGTGTGGCTCCAATGAAGTGGTGCCAGCAAATACCAGGTCTTCAGTTTAAACCCTAGTACTGAGCGGGGTAAAAAAAAAGAAAGCCTTAAATCTTTAATGGTTGAAATGTATTACTGTGGACTATATTAATGATCAGAGACAGGTCTGACAAAAATCAGTACAATAACAGTTCAAAGACTACAAGCATAGACATGTGTTTAGAAACAAGTCCAGGTGAGAAATCCGGGGTAAGAAGCAGATTATGTGAATGGAAAGAAATTGGATGAAGTTCGTCATACAGGCTTGTGAGTTGGGAGGCCGGACAGGCCTACCTGACTGGAACTGCTGGTGTGCCTGCCCTTGGTAGTTAGTTGCCTTCATAAACAGTGACAGAATTAACCCAGTTGTTTTAACCTCCAAAAAAAGAAGTAAAATACTCTTACTAGAAAGACAGATGGTATGCAGGGTGCTGGTGGCTCACACCTGTAATCCTAGCTACTCAGGAGGGTGAGATCTGAGGATCATGGTTCAAAGCCAGCCCAAGCAGGAAAGTCCATGAGACTTTTATCTCCAATAAACCACTGGAAAAACCAGAAGTGGTGCAGTGGCTCAAGTGGTAGAGTGCTCGCCTTGAGCTGAAGAGCTGAGGGACAGCGCCCAGACCCAGAGTTCAAGCCCCATGACTGACCCCCCCAAAAAAAGGGACAGATGGTAATATATAGGGAAATAAATCAATGTGTGGTGGCAGAAGTGCTGAGAGATGCAGGTTTTCTTTTATGGTGAAGTATTTTAAGAAAGCCATTTAACGTGAGTAATCTGTTTTCCCTTCCAGAGATAGTTCATTTAAATACAGCCTAATTAGGAAGGAACAGATGAAATGCCCAAGGTCAATGTTAGGCTTGTGTTGTTGCCTTTTACAAATTCATGAGAGTGGCCAACA